TGAGTCCCAACATACACTGTATCCTCTAAATGCCCGGCTGTCATCTCATCTCCTTCAAGTGTCACCTCTGTAGGAGCCTCGATAGATACAATGCTCTCTGGAGTGGGTGAAGTCACATCATCCTCCACCTGCTGCGATATCTTCTGAATCTGATTTTCCTCCACCTGCTGAGGAACTTAAGGCTTCATTATGTATGCCTCGTCAAATATGACATTAACTATCTTCTTGTCTTGTGGATCCCATAACTTGAAGCATTTAACTCCATCTCTAAATCCCACAAAGACTGCTTTCGTCGCCCTCAGATTTAATTTACCATCACTGACATGGTAATAAGCTGGACACCCAAATATCCGAAGTGACTCATAGTCACTAGCCACCGAGCCAGACCAACGCTCTATCGGAGTCTTCCCTTGTATCGCAGTGCACGGTAACCTATTCACAAGATGGCTTGTATAAACCAATGTCTCGGCCCAAAAGGATCTTGACAATCCACTCTGTGTTATCATACATCGCATCTTCTCCAGCAAGGTACGGTTCAATCTTTCAGCCACCCCGTTCTGTTGCGGTGTCTCACGTACTGTGAAGTGTTGCCTAATGCCGTGATCTCGGCAAAACTGTAGAAACGGATCACTCTTATACTCTCCACCGTTATCTGAACATAGAGTCTTCACCTTTCTACCTGTCTGCAGCTCCACTTTCTTTTTCCACTCCACAAAAATATCCAGGACCTGATGTTTATGCTTCATCGGATATACTCAATTCCTCCTGGAATAGTCATCAATGAAAGTGACAAAATAGTTGGCCCCACCAAGTGATGTGTGCTTGGAAGGGCCCCAAACATCTGTGTGAATATAGTCCAATATACCTTGGGTATTGTGAATAGCGGTGCCGAATTTCACTCTTATCTTCTTTCCAAGTATGTAATGTTCACACAGCTCCATCTTGCAGGTCTTCGCACCCTTCAATAGCCCCTGCTTTGCCAATACCTGCATGGACTTATCACCAGTGTGTCTCAATCTCATATGCCATAAGCTGGTAGCATCTTCCTCTGTAGTAATAGAAGCTGCTAGACCCCCTGTTACTGTCTTGCCCTTCAAGTAGTAAAGATTATTTTTCCTAACACCACGCATCACCATCATGGACCCCTTTGTGACCTTCAGAGTCGCATTCTCTAAGATCACCTTATAGCCAGCTGTCTCCAAAGTTCCAAGCGAAATGATATTCTTCGTCAAATGAGGAACGAATCTCACTTCCTTCAGCTCCCGAGTCACCCCGTCACACATCAGGATCCGTACTGTACCAATACCACCAATAGGGTATACGTGATCATTACCCATGAGCACGACATCCCCTCTTTTCAACTTCTCAAAGCTGGAGAACCAATCCCTCCTAGGGTAAATATGGTATGTAGCACCAGAATCCATCATCCACTCTGTAGAGTCAGCGTAACAAACTGACGGTAGTGCAGAGCAGGAATAGCCTGAAGAATCTGTATCTGAATTATCGTCACTAGCCTTGACAACATTCACTTCCAAAGCTTGTACAGCTTTCCCTTTATTCTTCTCGGCTTTGTCTTTTAACTTTGGGCAGTCGTTCTTCCAATGTCCTTCTTCTTTGCAAAAGCGACATTGATTCCTACCAATATTTCTATGGCCACCTCTTGATTTCGATCTTGAGCGATCACCTGGACGACGGTTTGGACCATGACCTTGAACTGCTAATATATCTCCCGATGCCTTCTCGGAGGGTTCATTATTACTCTTCCTCAACTCATAATTCACCAAAGCTGAGGTCACCTCCTTGTAGCTAACTGTAGTTCTTTCATTTATCATAGTGAGAACAAACGTACCAAAATCATCCTCCGGCAACGAACACAATAGTAGTATCGCCTTGTCTGCATCCTCAACCATGATATCTACATTGGCCATATCCGAAATTAGCTTCGTGAAGTTGTTAACATGCTCCCGAATAAAAACTCCCCTCTTCATCTTGAATTGGTAAAACCTCTTCTTCAAGTGAAGCTGATTCTCAATGCTCTTCGTCAAATACTTCTCATTGAGTGTTTCCCACATTCTTTTCGCCGACGTCTCGTTCATTACGTCATAAATAAGATACAGTGTCAAGCATGACCGAATAACTCCACAAGCCCTACTATTCATTTTCTTCTAAACATTGTCCTCCATATCAGCGGGTTTCTCTTGTAATTCAAGAGTCTCCTCTAAATTTTATGCATCCAAGGCGTCCATTACCTGACACCTCCACAATCCGAAATTAATCTTGCCGTCGAACTTCGGAACATCAATCTTCGTGTTATTGATGCTCAGACTCTGTATCGCCTTCGAAAGAGACGATCCCGATGTGCTTGTTTCTCCCATGTTGTTGATCTAGTTCTTCAAATAGGAATCCTTCAGTGAATCCTTCGAACAAGCCCCAAATCCAACCCGGAGCTCTGATACCACTTGTTGTGTGCAGCGGAAATTTCGACAGCACCTCCGGTGTGCAAGGTGCACAACAAGAGATTAGATCGTACTAAGAATTTCTGTCTCACCAAGGAAACAAGAATCTGAAGCGGATATCTCAACAAAGTGAGATATCGGCTCTTCCTCTCATCAGTTCTAGGACTGACTTGTCGAGGGATCCTATAAGCTATTACAAATCACGACAAGAACATAAATTTTACGTGGTTCGGCAAATAGCCTACGTCCACGGGGCAAGGAGGGGGGAGATCTACTATTAGAGGGAGAGATACAACTAGGGTTTACAATCTCACAATCTAAACCCTCTCAAACAAACTCTCAAATCCCTCTTATAAAAAAACTCTCTCAAAAGGCACAAAAGGACTGCACTTTCTTTTCTGCACAAAACTCAATGCCCTCAGCCGAGATTCACAAAACTCTACGCCTTCGTGTTTTTTCTCCTACAACCGCAAAGCAATCCCCAGGCTAGCACTTTTCCCGCAGTCGCAATATTAATTCCCTGCACCCTTCTTTGCTACAAAAAAACCTAGGTCCCTCACATAGGTATTTATAGGAAGAGAGTCGGGTGGGCCTGGCCCTTTAATCACGCGGAAAACGAAAACCGAAATCGCGTTGCTGCTCACGCGATTTTCCTCCCAAAACTCATGGACCCCACACCACGTTCACACTATTGACTTCATTTTAACTGAAAATTCATGAGAGCATTTACAGGACAAGAAAGAACTTATTTCAATTTTCATGAAAACATTTTTTTTCCTTACTTTCTTTTGTTTAAAATTCTATTTGTGAAAGAATGTTTATGTTAAGAACAAGGATAATAGGCATGATGCGGGAGCTCATTCTACTCTTTAAATTTTGCTTCTTTATGGATGCTCTCACAACTCAAGTACTTCTTCAACTCTTCTAATTTCAAAAAGATTTCAAAGGTCTTCTCATGGTTAAAATATTAGGTACCTAACTAACAAAATTATATAAAAAGTAGTAAACCATTGAAAATATTTAATCTTCTAAATTCGTCACAAAGAATAAAACAAATCAATCCCAAAAGGAATACCTCTAAGGTATATATACCCAACTAACAAACTATACGTACACAAGTAAATCAACATAAACTACAAAATCAACAAAAAAGGAGAATTTTTTAAAATAGATAATGTTTAAAACAATATAAGCAAAATCAAACCCTTTTATACCAAAATTAGCAAAATCGACCGTTTTTCGCCCAATATCAGCACGTCTGGGCAGAAAACGGTCGATTTTGCTGAAAAATGTTTCAAATATATGCGCGGCTACTAAATATTTAATAAAAAGGTCGATTTTGCTTATATCATATCAAAAAAAGTCTATATTAAAAATTTCTCAAAAAAAAAAAAAAGAATATTTCCTCTAAGATCATCCTCATTCCTCAAGTACTCCCCAAGGCCCGCAACCACGATCGCATCCGCCGCCGCATTCTCGTCGAGGGGACGCATGGCGGCCGTGGAGGTCGGGGTCAGGGTTTTAGGGGTAAGGGGATTTTGGGAATTAAGAGAGGATGAAGAGGTTGTGGGTTGGTTTATGGGCCTATTGATGTAATATGGGCCCCATTAGGCTGGAATTAAAATATGAACCCATTGGTATACTGTGCTGGTTTCAAACTGTTGTGAGGAAAAGCCACCCTGTATCCATAGCAAGGATTATTTGCACTTCATACCCTAAAGTTTCACCTTTTTTAATGACACCAAAAGTGCCTAAAATTTGAAATTATTTTGAGAATAACCGTATAGAAAGTGAATGCGAAGAAAATTATCTTACAATATTTTGACTTGGAGAAAGTGAGGAACAAAGTAGGGCGGATTTGGGATGTCAAATTGTCAAATTAAAGTCAACTTGAAAACATTGGGTATCAATTTGTTAAAACAAAAACTTTTGGGTATTTAAGTTGAAAAGGATGAAACTTTGTGGTTTACAGTGAAAATAAGCCTAATACTGATCTATAAAGAACATTTTGAGAGTAGGAAAATTTTTGAACGAAGGGCATTAGGGTTAAATTATGAGAATAAAAATATCATTTTACTTCAATAACAATAAATGACATTTCATCCTCAGTATCACCCTTCCATCGTAAACACACCCTTTTCCTATAAAAAATGAAAATATTTATCGACTAGAGTCTTGTACGATTAAAAACGCAAAAGACATCCTTTTACATAATGTGCATTTGTATCTTTCAAATTTCTAGCATCAGAAAAAGAAAATCCTTCTCTCTTAGAAAAATGGATTTTTATAAACATCAGAATCATCGACTAACAATAGTTGATTTATAAATATATTTAACGGGGAAAAAAACAAAATAGTTATTATCAATAGTACATTGAGAGAGAGAATATGCAAATCCAATATAACACAGCCAACCAGCATTGACAACAATAGCACACATAAATTTGAACGACCAACAAAACAAGATATTTTCCCTCCAAAATTGAAAATGATTCAAGACCAAATGCCCACACATTCTGTACGCAATCAATGACACTGTTCGAATTCAATCAAGAAACAAGCCATTTGCTCGTACTATAGGTTGAGATATTCAAATTTACATCGATTTCATTTGGTATGCACAAGGAGAATCTACAAAGGTCCAAACATTAATATCTGCAAGTTGTAGCATATAATTATAAACATTTATATTAGCAAGCAAGCTATAGCATATTTACACCTTATTCAGTTCCTGAACAAGTGAAGTGCCTATTTCGTGATTTACAATCTTACCAGTATCTATATAAGGAAATAAACCATTTGCCAGTTGTATTATGAGGTTTCGTCGGGTTTCAAGAAACTGTAGCATTCCAACTGCTTCATCTCTCCGCCACTGGCTGGATCAAATACACACCTGTGGAAGCTGCGGCATTCGAACAAACAAACAATGTAAATTTATATGGTAGATAGTACAAACACTAAAAGCTCACTGATTAAGGATAAATGATTGAAGAAATCTGCTGTTATGCAACAATTTTGGTAATTCTCACCAATCTGAGAAAACTTGAGGGTGGTGTGTTTTGATCTCAAGGTAGTTTAATATGCAAAGTTAATCACTACCTCCACTTTGTTTAGCTAAAACAAACAACAGAGGAACTCAAATACTCGAAAGAAGGTGATGGGTGGCTGCTATGCTTGCGCTTGCCAAGCTACAAAGAATAGTAGGGGGGGGCGGGGGGGGGGAGCTGCGGGACATAGAAGAAACAAGGCCAACATAAAAGGATTTCTCTGATTTTTAACTGCAATAATTTCATTATCACATAAGGTGTTCACGCTAAATTTTCTTTCTTCCTTCTTTTTTTTTCTATAAACTCGCAAGGCATATTTATTCATCTGATAACGTTGAAGATTATATTCAACACATATAAGTAATAAACATTTTAGGGTATGTTCAACACACATAACTAACATATTTCACCATAATTTACGTACCTTCCATCCATCCCTAGGATAACAACAGTATTCTTCTGATGGCCAAAAGCGACAATGTAATGAGTACCTTCATGCAATCGGAATTGCGCCACTGACCATTCTGAATTAAAAAATTTTGGCAACACACCTGCCAAAGAAACCCAAAAAGAGCTCAAAAAGTGTTTCACTATATTTCACTTGAGGACTTATATGATCATGCATCGCTGAACTATCATTGCAAAGCTGATAAAACCTGGCATCAGTCACATCATCAGACGTTGAAGCCGATGATGGATCAGCCTGTTGTGCGCAGCGGAAATTTCGGCAGAGTTTCTGGTGCACAATAAGAGAGAAAGATCGATAAGAATTCTTGTTTCTCAAAGGGAACAAGAATCTGAAGCCTAATATCCCATCAAAGTGGGATATTTGCTCTTCCTCTCGTCAGCTCTAGGACTGCGCGTCGAGGGATCCTAAAAACTATTACAATGACCACAAACTCAAACAACCAATTTTACGTGGTTCGGCAAACTGCCTACGTCCACGGGGCAAGGAGGGGGATCTACTATTATAGAGAAAAAGAATACAAATGGGTTTACAACTCTCACAATCTAAACCCTCGAATAGGCTCCTTGCTTTTCTTCACAAGAAAAGGTCAGCCTCCAAATACTTTTTCTTCTCTGTCACAAAACCCGAGACAGCCACCTCTCCTCTCTCTCTTTTTCTTTTGCTGCGTTTTCTCCAAGAAACAAAGCCGCCGAAAAAGAATCCACCTTGCTGCCTCGTTTTCACCAAGCCCTCTGCTCTTGCCACCCAAAAACCCTAGGCAACCTTAGGGTATTAATAGGCATTGTATGGTCAATCGGGTGGGCTTTCACTTTGGTCCGCTGGACAAAACCGAAGTCTTCATGCGGAAACAATTGAAAAAACCCAATGGAATTTCTCCCACGCAACACTGTGGCCCCCACACGAAGAAGAAAACACGTTATCTCTTGAGACATTATCTTTTCACGTGGCCTTCTTTAAAGTTTGGTAGTCCCACACGCAATCAACAATCACAATTCTCACCCTCGGTGAAGTTTTCTCACAAAACTGAGCCGACACCAACCAAACCAAATGTCTCACTTGTTGTGTCCAGTACGAAGTGAAACAATTCACGACAACGGACTCAATCCATAACAAGTCGAGAACCCAAATGAGAGTGCAAACACTCTCCATACGTCGGTATCTACTCACCAAATCGGTCTCACCCCCATCAAATAATCCAACCCGGCTGCATCGTAAAGACTGCCTACGTATCCTCTTGCTCAAGGAATCAAGCCGAACGTAGTTCACCCAAATGGCCGCTAACGACCTCAATCCAATAGAAGAGTACGCAACCCTTCTTCAATATCACGATCAAGTCTGCGGCTGATAGCACCTCCAATGACCTCAAACACCTCCACCTGAGGCGAACCAATGACCATATTCAAACTATGTCTGCCAGCTGCACTCGATTCAAAAACCAACTCATCATCTGCACATAAATCCAAATAACTCCCACGCTGTGTCACCTCAGCTGGAATCCCAACCAATGCAGAATGACCTGGAGTATGTGGGAAAATCCTCACCCAATGTGGAGTAGCATCAGTCTCTACCCGCTACGATACCTCTACGGTCTGTCCAAAACTCTCCACCTGCTGAGAGTCAATTGGCTTCCTCATCGAAGCCTCAACCAAAGTGACACTACCAGACCTATCTTCCAATGGAGTTTTACCTCCTATCACAGCAGTTGACAACTCTTTAATAGGATGACCAAAATATGTCGAAGCCTCTGTCCAGAAACTCTTCTGCAAACCATTGCTCGACCACAAACATCGATCCTCCTCCAACAATGCACGGTTCTCCAAATTTGCCACCCTATCTAGTTGCCCCAAGATTTCCTTTTCAACGAAGTGTCTCGAAATACCGTGAGCTCGGCTCCAATACAGAAACAGGTCCATCTTGTACCTCCCACCAGAATGGAGTATCTTCACCTTTCTGTCTATTACACACTTCTTCAATCTGTTAGAGACTACTAGGACTTTCTCCAATAGGGATTTGGTTGCAACCCAAACACGCCTAGAACAGCCACCAACAAAAGAAACCAAACGCCTATTACCTCCCAATGATGTCCCCTTGGAAGGCCCCCAAACATCCACGTGAACTCCTCCAGAACGACCCTTAGCACGGTGAATAGAGGTGCCACACTTCACCTCGGTCTTCTTGCTCACATCAACATGTTCACTGGACTTCAAACTGCAGGTCTTTGCACCCTCTTTCAATCTATGTGAGGAATCAACACTGGAATGGCCAAGCCCCAAATACCGCAGTCTAGTCGAATCAACAGAAGTCGCCAGTTCTCCACCTATCACTATACCTCCAGTCAAGTAATACAGGTTATTTTTCCTGACGCCCTTCATCAAAATACGAGAGTCTCTCACAATCTCGAGAACCATGTCCTCAACATGAATCTTAAGACCCTCTCCAACCAAAGCTCAAATTGAGATCAAGTTCTTCCTCAAAGAAGGAACATATCTCACATCATTTAACTCCCTAACAGTCCCGTCAAACATTTTTATGCGAATTCTTCCTATCCCAAGGATCTGACATGCACGATTATCAGCCATGTACACCACACCACTATCCACCAGCTTCTCAAAACTGGAGAACCATTCCCTTCTAGGGCACATATGATAGGCCGCACCACTATCCAACATCCATTCAAATTCCTCCGAATAGCTATCTGTAGGACTGATAGAAAGCGAATAAATAGAAGAGTCAGAATTATTACCATCCGATACGATGTTTATTTCTGATGATGGTTGCTTTCTTTTTCCCTTCTGCTTATTCTTCATCCATTCGTCGAGCTTTGGGCAGTCTTTCTTCCAATGACCAGTCTCCTTGCACCAAGCACACTGATCTTTTCCTATCCTAGACTGTGACTTCTAATTCTTTCGGTTTGGACCCTTCCCTCTTGCGACCAACGCCTCCGCTACCGGCTCAACTGAAGCCTCCTTATCCTTCTTTCGAAGCTGATAATTCACAAGTGCAGCGGTGACCTCACTATACGAAAGTGATGTCTTCCCATTAATCAGAGTAAGAACGAAGGTCTCATATTCCTCGTCGGGCAAGGAACTCAACAACAGCAACGCCTTGTCCTCATCTTCAATCTTGACATCCACATTCGCCAAATCCGCAAGAAGCTTTGTGTAGTGGTTCATGTGATCTCTAATGGAGGTTCCCTTCTTCAACTGGAAACGATAAAGTCTCCTCTTCAAATGCAAGCGATTTTCCACACTCTTGGTCAAATACTTGCTTTCGAGAATCTCCCAAATCTTCTTCGCAGAAGTCTCATTCATCACATCATATTTTAGATCTTGAGTCAAACAAGACCTAATCACACCACACGCCGTTCGATTCATCTTTTTCCAAACCTTCTCTTCAATCTCATCTGGCTTGCCATCTAACTCCAAGGTATCCTCCAAATTCTGCGCGTTCAGCGCATCCAAAACCTCGCATCTCCATAATCCAAAGTTGTTTGTGCCATTAAATTTCTCCACATCTATCTTCATAGAGTGGATATTCAAACTCTGAATAGTCTTCACGCCAGAAGAACCACCCTCGACTCCCGAAGCACCTTCTTTCCCCGACATCTTACGCACCAACGAACGAAGAATAGATCCAAAACTAGAAAGATAGTCTTTACCAAAAGATCCCACCTTTATCACCAACGAAGCCCTAAACGAGCCTCCAAATTGATCTACTCCTCCAACCAAACCCTAGATCTGGAATCTGAGCTCTGATACCACTTGTTGTGCGCAGCGAAAATTTCGACAGAGTTTCTGATGCACAATAAGAGAGAAAGATCGATAAGAATTCTTGTTTCTCAAAGGGAACAAGAATCTGAAGCCTAATATCCCATCAAAGTGGGATATTTGCTCTTCCTCTCGTCAGCTCTAGGACTGCGCGTCGAGGGATCCTAAAAACTATTACAATGGTTCGGTAAACTGCCTACGTCCACGGGGCAAGGAGGGGGATCTACTATTATAGAGAAAAAGAATACAAATGGGTTTACAACTCTCACAATCTAAACCCTCGAATAGGCTCCTTGCTTTTCTTCACAAGAAAATGTCAGCCTCCAAATACTTTTTCTCTCTTTACAAAACCCGAGACAGCCACCTCTCTCTCTCTCTCTTTCTTTGCTGCGTTTTCTCCAAGAAACAAAGCCGCCGAAAAAGAATCCACCTTGCTGCCTCGTTTTCACCAAGCCCTCTGCTCCTTTGCACCCAAAAACCCTAGGCAACCTTAGGGTATTAATAGGCATTGTATGGTCAATCGGGTGGGCTTTCACTTTGTCAGCTGGACAAAACCGAAGTCTTCATGCGGAAACAATTGAAAAAACCCAATGGAATTCTCCCACGAACACTTGTGGCCCCCACACGAAGAAGAAAACACGTTATCTCTTGAGACATTATCTTTTCACGTGGCCTTCTTTAAAGTTTGTAGTCCCACACGCAATCAACAATCACACAGCCGAAGTGGTTTTACCAATGCCAGCGTGGTTCTTAAAGTGACTGTATACCTAAGTTAGTAAAATTGAACCAAAATAACAATTGAATCTCAGACCATAAAACAAAGCTCACAGCAACAACGTGAATTTGATCAAGTAAAAAATCTGTATCATTTAGACCTTTCATACTGATAGAAGTCTTGCCAAAGCATGAACTAGAAGAACTGGACTGATAGGTGTGCAGCTCCAGAATATAGAACAGTCTATCTTAAAGATTCACATAAGCTACGTCTAGGCAGAAAGGAGTTCAGTTTTATTTCTATGAAGAAAGGATTTCAGGAATCAATTCCAGGCGGGTTGCCTATGAATGAGTTGATATCTAAGTGTACTGAGGTGATATAAAATTGAAACCAATACAACAAAATTATGACGTTCATTTATCTTTTGTCTAAACAAAAATGCCACAGAAAACAAGCAGGCAGTAGTTTACCATGAAGTCCTATGTAGAAGCAGTATTTTTCATAATGGAAAGCATAGCAGAACTTCATTCATGCTCCTCTCAGGTTTAGGTCAGCTTCAGCAATAAGAAACCTAATAGATCTTTTTTCCATTCAATTCATCTATATTCCTTCCAAGTCATCAGGTATTTGAAGAGTTATTGGATTGCAAGAGCAAAACCATGTAAACAAGTCAGATTATCCTAGCTGTCAAATTGCTTCCAATGTTTTATAATCCTCTCACAAAAGTTGGGACAAGGATATGCCACCAGTTGTTGATAATCGTTTCGTTGGTTCCTTGAGAGCACTACAGATTTCAGTATTGCACCAAAGCCAATCCTATTTATTGATAACTAGCTATGGAAAGGGCGACGATGGAAATAAGGAAACTCACCTTTAATAAAGGTCAAGGATGAAGCCGCAGCTGGAGTGTTTGACTCTGGTGCAGGCCGAGGCTGGTCATTTCCTGTCAAGCCCAAATTAACTTTGAGGTTGAACACATGGACAGTTCCTTTGTCACTTGAAACAGCCAGCCACTTCATGTTCTCTGAGAAAGCCAAGCTATATATCTCTGCTCGGTCAGCACCTCTCCTCACCTACAACGGATATCAAATCAAAAAAGTTTGTGAAGTTCTATAGGAAAAGAAAACTGTTCTGTTAAATAATTGGTTATTGCTAGTTGTTGAAATCCAGAAAAATACCATAATAACAAGAAAATATTGCTATTCCCTCAAGGTCACTAAAAAAGAAAAGTTATATAGAAAAGAAGAACCAAAAGGTAAGGTAAAACAGATGAGGGACTCCAAGTTTAAGAAAAACTGTATGCTAATCATGCTACTTGACAATTAATAATTCAAACCCAAAGTGGACATATACAATGCATATTATGGTTAATCTGCCAGAACGAGTGTATTATAAAAAATGGTAGTCATTTTTCACTAACTTCATTTTGATCGGTAATAATTCAAACCCAAAATGGACACATACAATGCATATTATGGTTAATCTGCCAGAACTAGTGCATCATAAAAATTGGTAGTCATTTTTCACTAACTTCATTTTGATCGGTCTAGCAAAAATGGCTGAAAGGCGCTCTCTGGTAATGCTCCAGTTTGCAGGAGAAAGACATGCAGACATTCCTTAGTTCTACTAAAACTTAAAAAGAGATCCCAGAAAGAAACATGATCTTTGCCCCCAATAACTCACAAGGAGGAAAGGAGAAATAAATCTACCAATCAATCTACCTGCCTACCTAAAATGATTATCAAAAGCAATTTGGATCCTCTCCGCTACATAAAAGTAGTTGAGAGACTACTACTTTTAATCACAACAATTAATTAACTAATGGGTGATTGTGATACATTCTAAAGCTAACACTCATCATACCCCAATGTATTGCACTCATTCTTAATTTGTACTAAAAAAATCATAATCACCCACTAAATAATCAATAGTTATGATTAACTAACGGTCCCTCAACTACTTTTGTGGTAGTAAAGAGGCATTTTTGGTAGTGGAGAGGATCCAAATCCTATCAAAAGAGTATAAACGGGAAACAATGTTGATAAATCATCAAAATAGGGGTATAGCAAAGTAGAACAATCTGGATGATTTGATTCGACGAATTTAGAATTAAATAAATTTGTTAAGATTTGATTTTATAGTTTAGATTTGATTTTATCTTTTATGATAATTGGTTAGGTGACTATTTAGTTTTTGATTTACAATTTTATTAGGGATAGAAGCTGTTTGATTTCAAATTTTATTAGGAATAGTCGTTTTGATTTTCAAAGTATATTATGTAGAAGTGTAGAACTGCTTACAATGCATTGTAAAGCAGAGAGTTTAATTAGTAAGAACTTTTTGCTTGAGATTTTGGAGTGATTCCATGGGGTGCCAGTGCGTGAAGCTGACAAAACCTAAACTCTAATTTCTTTTCCCCTCTATTAATTTCAGCTATCGATCCTACAACTGTACAACTTCCATGGAGTCAGATAAGATTCAATCAATTCTAAAGTTCAGATCAGTGTCAATACACACTATCATTAAGTATAAAAATTAGGGTCACTAAAAGAGTGATTTGCTTCAACCGCAAAGAGTAGCCTCTGCAAATCTATACTACTTATAAAAGAGAGAATGAGTGTCAAAACTTTTGAGTGCCTATTTTACCCTTTACAATGTTTATAATTCTCATCAAATCCAATCCAATCCAATTTTGATTTAAATTAAATTAATTAAATTAATTAAAATAATTAATATATATTAAATGAAATAGGATCAATTAAAACCCTTGTTCCTCGTCCCTTTGTCTTCAAAACTACCCCCCTCTGAAGATGTTAGCGACCCTCCATCTCTTGACCTGTGATGATTCATGCAATTCTCAATAAATAACTAATTTTTCACCCTCTCCTCACATCCATCGATCTCCTTTTAGCAACATCTCTCTCAGATCAAATAACTACTACCATGATTGCCACTAATTTCAATGGTCGCATAACTCTCTGTCTCTTTCAATTTGCAATAAATGGAAATATGAAGTTTACAACTACTTATTTGTTATATAAAGGCCGCATTTGGTTGGATTTTTATGCAGAAAGGTGATTTTTTTTCTTGAGCGTAAGTATCGATCCTTTATTTTCTTTTATTTCTTTCTCAATTATTGCCCCTCACAATTTGTTTTGATTGAAAGTAATAATTTTGAAATTATTCTTTTTTAATTTATGCAGTTCATGCAGCTTTCCAAATTTGAGTTGATGGGAGAACACATATAGCAAGATATTTTATTAATTTATGCAGTTCATGCAGCTTTCCAAATTTGAGTTGATGGGAGAACACATATAGCAAGATATTTTACTTAATTTCCTTTTCCCTTTTGTTATTTTAATTTGAGTTGATGGGAGAACACATATAGCAAGATATTTTACTTAATTTCCTTTTCCCTTTTGTTATTTTGCTAAGGAAATTTGATCTTTATCTTTGGGTTTATTTTGTGGACTGGTCTGTTGGTATTTGTCAACCATTTTTTTATTTTTTTAAACTGATCAGGCCTTTGGCTCACCATTTTTTTTATGTTGGGAACTAATTTATTGTTTAGTGCAATTGAGTGAGCGAGACAACAATAAGTAGAGAAATAATTTATTCTCCTCATGTTATTATTTTTCATATAATTCACAGACTATTTTTTATAGATGAATCATATATAATTTATTCTTGTTCAGTTCATCCATTTCTCAGGTCAGTTTACAGGATATCAGATTGTATACTTAGATATGATTGTTATTTCTTTTGTTTAAGATTGTTTTGGGACTTGATTAATCTTGTTGCATAGATTTATGTATATGCAAAAAAAAGGAGAATCTTTTAGGCTGGATGATAGTTCAGCCTTCATTAGACTTGGTACGATGCTTGAATTGGAAGATGTACATAGATAAAGATCTTTGTAAATGTACGTATAAATTGCTCTTTACTATATACATGTATATTAATGATAATAGGATTAGTCGCTGAAATTGTGAAGAAGCTTTACTAAGTAATAATTATGATATATTAAGAGAGTACATTTCTAAATCTCGGAGAGGTCCATGATTATTTGAACTCTTATTAAACACAGAGTTATTTACCTAAGAAGAATTGAATTATTAGGTTAGATCAGGCATAAATATTGGATGACAAGTAAAGTATCATACATGTACTCAAAGTATGCTCAGGAAATCATGTATGCTCTTATTTTAGAGCCTTACTCGTTCTACTCATCATATTTTTGTCTTAACACCTTTCTCTTAATTAATGCCAAACAAGTTTATAGACATACGCCTAGAGTAATACTTGACTTTCAGTAATCCAAAGCTTAGGCTCTCAACAGAAGGCTAGACATACACGCCAAAGCAAGCACATAAGTGGATATGTACTCAACACATTTAGATTGTTCTCCTCCCTCTTACATGGTAGTGGACTTTAAGATATAAATAGTTGTATGGTAAGATAATAAATCTGGTTATTCATAGGATAGTTTTTTTCTTAGTTAATATTTCTACTTTTCTATCACCTCAAATTTTCCTTTATAAATATTTCTACTGGTATTGTAGCAAATTTATATTCTATTGGATAATAGATATAGATAGAAGTATAAATATGCTTTGTCCTTTAATCATCCAGTTCAAATGACAGAACTTTAAACGGAATTATATTTGGATATTTCAGCTAGTAGGTTTTTAAATAGAATTGTATTAGATTTTTTAGCAATTAGGTTTTTAAACAGCATATTTGAATCTTGTAGTGTAAAATAGTTGTCCTCTAACGAGTACAATTATGTTGCACGACCACTTTAGGAAATTCTTTTTATTTGAAACTTATTTCAGATTAATTTAGAGGTTCATCAATTAGTAGTTCCATGAGGTTAAAAGGGTGGAGTTAAATTCATCAGTTTATGAGCTAGAAGCTCATGTGAGTCTATAGGAGGTCCTTTGTCTTGTTTCTAATCTGTTAATCTGGTGATAGTTTGAACCTTGTGTTGTTAAAGTGATTTGAAACAAGATTGCTAAGTTCAGGGATTAAAACACTATAAAAAGCCGACATAATTGCTTAACTTTGTCCTTTTGAACTCAAATTATGAAATTAATGGATTTTGTAAATTTTTCATTATGAAATCAATGTATTGTATCAATCAAACACTTTAAACCTCTATTTCTTTTGAACCTGTCAATTTGGTTATGTTCTAAAGCTATATATAAAGGTTCCTACTATATTTTGTTAAAATTTCTATATTGGTTACAGACTTGGAGAAACCACCATAAGCAAAATACTTCCCCATTTTAAACCCAATGAATGATTTTAAGTTCATTTGCTTTAGTAGCTTATAAAAGAGGATAATAGTTTGTTTATTGTTCCAATTTACATAATCTTAATTTGTTTGGGTAATTAAATCCTTATCGACTTAGTTAAAGTTTCATGTCTTTGCCTTTTTAACTCTTTTTTATTTTTTTCAAAGATAATCAACATCCTATATAACGTTGTTTTAAATATCCCTGACATGACCCGATATGCCATCCGATATATTTTGTGACATTCTTCAATATTGTTTTATAAATTGTAAGCCTTAATCCCAAATGTTTGGGGTCGATTATATGAATTATATTCTTCCATTCCATTCTATCACGAGTCATCTCCTCCATTTGTTGGTGTTGAAATCGTCCTATAAAATTTTTCCTTGTATTTCATTGGTAACTTACAATCACACAAGACTCCCGAAGCAATCTTTTTTGTAATTTATTTATATTTTTCTTTATTTTATAAATATATGTGCAGTATATTTGCAAAGTGAATATGTCAGTTTCATATAAGAATGACAAATGGGATGAGGAGTAGAGTGCACAATCTCTTGTTACTCTGTGAATTGTTTATTCACATTGAGGCTTGGATGATTAATGAACAATTTTGTATCTGGACAATTATTTTTTTAGCGCAATTATTTAGTATACTACAATTACTTTTCTTGACCATTCTATCATGATCGTTGCTGAATTTATTCGAGAATGTATTTAACTATTTCGCAGATGTAAAATGATCACTTATGTAAGTCATTATCTGATTTGTTTCT